TTGGAGCTTACAATCTAAGAGGGAGGGGATATATATATATATATATATATATATATATATATGTATACACACACACATATATATACACACACATAGATAGATAGATAGATAGATAGATAGATAGATAGATAGATAGATAGATAGATAGATAATAGATAGATAATAGATAGATAGATAATAGATAGATAGATAGATAGATAGATAGATAGATAGATAGATAGATAATAGATAGATAGATAATAGATAGATAGATGATAATAGATAGATAGATAGATAGATAGATAGATAGATAGATAGATAGATAGACAGATAGATAGATAGACAGATATATATATACAGTCATGGCCGAAATTGTTGGCACCCTTGATATTTCTCCAGGAAATCATGTATTTCTCACGAAACGTATTGCATTAACACATGTTTTGCTATACACATGTTTATTCCCTTTGTGTGTATTGGGACAAAACAAAAAAAGGGAGGAAAGAAAGCAAATTCGACATAATGTCACACAAACCTCCAAAAATGGGCTGGACAAAAGTATTGGCACCTTCACAACTGCGGATAAATAAGAATGTTACAAGCATGTGATGCTCCTGTAAACTCACCTGGGGCAAGTAACAGGTGTGGGCAATATAGAAATCACACCTGAAAGCAGATAAAAAGGAGAGAGACGTTCACTTAACCTTTGCATTGTGTGTCCCCTGTCTGTGCCACTAAGCATGGACAACAGAAAGAGGAGACGAGAACTGTCTGAGGACCTGAGAACCAAAATTGTGGCAAAATATCAACAATCTCAAGGTTACAAGTCCATCTCCAGAGAACTAGATTTGCCTTTGTCCACAGTGCGCAACATTATCAAGAAGTTTGCAACCCATGGCACTGTAGCTAATCTCCCTGGTCGTGGACGGATGAGGAAAAATTGATGAAAGATTGCAACGCAGAATAGTCCGGATGGTGGATAAGCAGCCCCAAACATGTTCCAAAGACATTCAAGCTGTCCTGCAGGCTCAGGGAGCATCAGTGTCAGCGCGAACTATCCGTCGACATTTAAATGAAATGAAACGCTATGGCAGGAGACCCAGGAGGACCCCACTGCTGACACAGAGACATAAAAAAGCAAGACTACAGTTTGCCAAAATGTACTTGAGTAAGCCAAAAGCCTTCTGGGAAAACGTCTTGTGGACAGATGAGACCAAGATAGAGCTTTTCGGTAAAGCACATCATTCTACTGTTTACCGAAAACGGAATGAGGCCTACAAAGAACAAAACACAGTACCTACGGTAAAATATGGTGGAGGTTCAATGATGTTTTGGGGTTGTTTTGCTGCCTCTGGCACTGGGTGCCTTGACTGTGTGCAAGGCATCATGAAATCTGAGGATTACCAAAGGATTTTGGGTCGCACTGTAGGGCCCAGTGTCAGAAAGCTGGGTTTGCGTCCAAGATCCTGGGTCTTCCAGCAGGACAATGACCCCAAACATACGTCAAAAAGCACTCAGAAATGGATGGCAAAGAAGCGCTGGAGAGTTCTGAAGTGGCCAGCAATGAGCCCAGATCTAAATCCCATTGAACACCTGTGGAGAGATCTTAAAATTGCTGTTGGGAAAAGGTGTCCTTCCAATAAGAGAGACCTGGAGCTGTTTGCAAAGGAAGAGTGGTCCAAAATTCCGGGTGAGAGGTGTCAGAAGCTTATTGATGGTTATAGGAAGCGACTGATTTCAGTTATGTTTTCCAAAGGGTGTGCAACCAAATATTAAGTTAAGGGTGCCAATACTTTTGTCCAGCCCATTTTTGGGGTTTTGTGTGACATTATGTCATATTTGCTTTTCTGCCTCTGTTTTATATTTGTTCCAATACATACAAAGGGAATAAACATGTGTATAGCAAAACATGTGTTAATGCAATACCTTTTTTGTGTGAAATACTTGATTTTCAGGAAAAATATCAAGGGTGCCAACAATTTCGGCCATGACTGTATATGTGTATATATCCCCTCCCTCTTAGATTGTAAGCTCCAAGGATCAGGCCCTCCTAACCCTCTTGTATTGAACTGTATTGTTGCTGTATTGTCAAGCACAGAGCTAACTGTTGGCGCCATATATCCTGTATAATATCTACATATATATATATATATATATATATATGAAGAAGAAGAAGAAGAAGAATGAATTATAATATACCTTTATTGAAAATTATTGGCACTTTAGAAATTATTTTTTACATATATATTATTTTTAATAACAAAGGAAAAAAGAAAACTAATTGAATGAACTAATTCTAAAACACTTTAGAAGTTATAAAGCAAAGGACTAAAACCAGGAAAGACCGAGCGCTCGTGGTGACAGCCGGAGTGATGATACAGAGACATACACAACCAACAGTCAATATGTGCGATTCCAAGGCTTTCATAGATCGATAAAACCATAACCACCATGTTCCAGGGATCCCATGTAGCAATATGGCACAAAATGAAAGACTGGCACAAGTTACGTGATGAAAAGGAAGAAATGATGACATGACTGTGCGGAGTCTGGATGGTGAACTCAACAGATGGAAGAAGGAGGGGGGAGGGGCTTTGACATCATGACGCTCAATAGTTCCATACTGACACCAGCTGGCAATTATAGGTTTTTCACCATAAGAAAAGATCTGGAGGACACATTTTGTGAACAAAGCAGTTTTATATACAGAGTATATGTGAGTGCATTACTTTTATTGATAAAATGGTTTTGAAAGGATAATACACTATGATTTCATGCATTCCTCTATATTAACCACCGTGGAAGGGAAGATTATCATTTGAGTGGAGAAGACCCCAAACAGCAAGATATCGTCTCATCCATACTGTGGCCCATTTAAAGGGACACAAGCATTATATGACCTCTGTTAACGGTTTGGTCAGAGAGCACAACCGGTGGGGGAGCACAATGCATGCAAGTTTTCCGCACAAAATATTTTATTTTAGAAGCACGGGTTACTATATTTTAAAGTGAACTATGCAAGTTTGAAGAAATTTCATATATGGACTTTTTTGATAATTCTATGGACACCGTTATTGGAAATTGACACTGGTTTATTATTTTTATTCATTTTTATTCATCTTTTCATATTTCATATAATTGTTTTATTATTGTGGTATGCAACATACGTAATAGCAATTGGATGCATGATTTTAAGTGAAGCGCGGCACATTGTGATATATATTACTTTTTTATTTCCCTCCTCCTTCTTTCCCTCCTTCTTTTCCTCCTTCTTCTTTCCCTCCTTCTTTTCCCTTTTTCTTTCCCTCCTCCTTCTTTCCCTCCTTCCTTCTTTTCCCTCCTTCCTTCTTTTCCCTCTTTCTTTCCCTCCTCCTTCTTTCCCTACTTCTTCTTTTTCCTCCTTTCCCTCCCTTCCTTCTTTCCCTCCTTCTTTCCCTACTTCTTTCCCTCCTTCCTTTTTCCCTCCTTCCTTTTTCCCTACTTCCTTCTTTCCCTCCTTCTTTCCCTCCTCCTTCTTTCCCTCCTTCCTTCTATCCCTACTTCTTTCCCTCCTTCCTTTTTCCCTCCTCCTTCTTTCCCTCCTTCCTCCTTTTCCCTCCTCCTTCTTTCCCTCCTTCCTTCTTTCCCTCCTTCCTTCTTTCCCTCCTTCCTTCTTTCCCTCCTTCCTTCTTTCCCTCCTTCCTTCTTTCCCTCCTCCTTCTTTCCCCCTCCCTCCTTCTTTCCCTCCTTCCTTCTTTTCCCTCCTTCCTTCTTTTCCCTCCTTCCTTCTTTTCCCTCCCTCCTTCCTTCTTTTTCCCTCCCTCCCTCCTTCTTTTCCCTCCCTCCTTCCTTCTTTTCCCTCCCTCCTTCTTTTTTCCTTCCCTCCTTCCTTCTTTTCCCCCCTCCTTCTTTTCCCTCCCTCCTTCTTTTCCCTCCCTCCTTCTTTTCCCTCCCTCCTTCTTTTCCCTCCCCTTCTTTCCCTTCTCCCTTCTTCCTTCTTCCCTTCCCCTCCCTCCTTCTTTCCCTCCTTCTTTCCTCCCTCCTTCTTTCCCTCCCTCCTTCTTTCCCTCCTCCTGGATCCAGAATGTGACTGTTGTTTGTCTTTCTTCTTGTTACACCTGATGAAGGATCCTGATTGTTTGTAAAACTGTCACTTTGATGAGTAACTCTCTTGTTAAATATACAAGGTGCTGCAGACTGGACTATCGTAGTTTCCATATATTGGAGATTGGGTGATCTTACCGGCTTTGCACCTGAAGGATTGTGATGCATGCTGGGTGTATGATGTTATTTTGGGACCCCGTTGTGCTAGAGACCATGCTGGACTGGCTGGATCAGGTGCTGATCATGGGTGGGTGGTTGTATGGGTATGGTAGGAGGTTGTACCTAGTCAGGGGCAGACTGACCATTCGGGAACTCTGGCACTGCCCGAAGGCCTGGGGTCAGTAGGGGGCCCCATGAGATGCCCCTGGTACCTTTCATAGGCTTTTTTGGGTGTGGGTTTGAGTGTGGGCATGGACACAGGAGCCCCATGATCCCCTATTGTCCGGGGGCCCCATGAGTTGTCAGTCCGCCCCTGTACCTAGTATTAGATAATGGCAATGAAACTTCTTCAGGGTCGGGCAGATGCCTTTCTGGTACAGCCTTGTAGTCATTTCCACTTGTGGACTTGGAAAAGTAGGAGCGCCCAGAGCCCAAAAGAATGTAAATTAGAAGATAGGTGAAAAGGTGTTTATTGAAAGTAGCAGCAAGTACATAAAGCCAACGCGTTTCGGGGGAAGGACTCTCCCTTCTGCAGGGTGGAGGGTGCAACATCAACTGTTACTCTGTCAGTCTATTCTCTGCCCTGAAGAAGGGAGAGTCCTTTCTCCCAAAACGTGCTGCTTTGATGTACTTGTTATTCTCTAGGGCAGTGTTTCTCAACCTTTTTTGAGGCAAGGCACCTTTTAAAATTATGGACAGCCCCGAGGCACCCTTTAAAATTATGGACTCAGGCACCCTTTATAGTTATGGACAGTCCCCCGAGGCAACCCTTTAAAATTATGGACTGTCCCGAGGCACCCTTTATAGTTTATGGACTGTCCCGAGGCACCCTTTAAAATTATGGACAGCCCCGAGGCACCCTTTAAAATTATGGACAGTCCATAAAAGCCAACGCTTTGAGGCACCCTTTAAAATTATGGACAGTCCCGAGGCACCCTTTATAGTTATGGACTGTCCCGAGGCACCCTTTAAAATTATGGACAGTCCCGAGGCACCCTTTAAAATTATGGACATTCCCGAGGCACCCTTTATAGTTATGGACTGTCCCGAGGCACCCTTTAAAATTATGGACTGTCCCGAGGCACCCTTTATAGTTATGGACTGTCCCGAGGCACCCTTTAAAATTATGGACAGTCCCGAGGCACCCTTTAAAATTATGGACAGTCCCGAGGCACCCTTTAAAATTATGGACAGTCCCGAGGCACCCTTTAAAATTATGGACTGTCCCGAGGCACCCTTTAAAATTATGGACAGTCCCGAGGCACCCTTTATATTATGGACTGTCCCGAGGCACCCTTTAAAATTATGGACAGTCCCGAGGCACCCTTTAAAATTATGGACTGTCCCGAGGCACCCTTTAAAATTATGGACTGTCCCGAGGCACCCTTTAAAATTAACGGGGCCCGGCTGTCCCTGTGCTCTCCCTCCCCCTCCCCTTATCCCCTCATCCTGTACACAGCCTTTGAAGCAGGCCACGCAGGATGAGGGGAGGGGACCCCTGCAGCGAAGATCACAGCCCCTCTGGAAATCTAGGCGGAGGAGCTGTGACCCCCCCCCGCCAAGAGACCCTGGCGGCAGCCCGCCAGGGTGTCTCCACGCGGCCCCGATGGGCACAGCACAGTCACAGGCGCTTCCTGCACTCTGAGTCGCCAGGAGACAAAGGCCGTGCTCACAAGAGAGCGTCCCGAGTCAAGGAGGCGTGCCTTGTTGCCCCGGCAATGCGGCGCTGGGCCTGACGTTGCCGGGGCAACCAGGAAGTGTCCTGGGTGGCCTTAAAAGGGCCGTCGCAGGACCCAGCTGGTGTCTTTTTTGCCTGCCACCACCGCTGTTCGTTGGGAGGTCCGACTGGGGACCGGACCTCCGCCGAGATAACCGCTGGGCACTCTGTAAGAGACTCTTCTTCCCCTCCCCTGAACAGGTCAGAACTAAGACTCCCAGGACTGGGAACACCCGCTGCCACTCTGCTAATACTCTCAGGGCTGGGAGTACTGCTGACACTCTGCTAATACTGCAGGGCTGGGAGTACCCACTGCCCCTCTGTTAATACCCTGGGTCAGGACTATCTGCTGTGGGCCCCACGATACTCTGCTTAATACTCTGGGGCCTGGATTACCCGCTGTGCTGTGTGCTAGGACTACCTGCTGTGGGCCCCACGATACTCTGCCTAATACTCTGGGGCCCGGATTACCCGCTGTTGCTGTGTGCTGAGCAGGGTCGCCCCTGCTGCCGTCCACTGTGAGCCAGGACACCCCGCTGGAGCCGTGAGTGTATGCACCCCCGTTTTATTCCCCCTGGACTGTTCTTGAACCCTGTACCCCCTCTGCTCCCTACTTGAATTACAAATTACTAGAGACTAAACTTTGTCCCTTGGGGATGGATTACAATTATTTGAGCCCTCTCCTTGCTATTCCCATAAACTTTGTACTGCCACGCTACCTGCAGACCCCAATTGAGTGACTGTCATTTCTTTAATAAAGCTTTGTGTGTTTATCATCTGCTCTGTGTGTTCTGTCCTGCTTACCTCCCGTCACAGTGACATTTAAATATGATCAGTATGTTTATCAGATAAAAATGCTTCTTCAGGACCAAAAGGTGAAGCAAGTGGTGGAAAATAAAAAAAAAAAAAAAAATCACGATTGATGTTCCACAAAAGAAAGCTCCATGAACACAAGAAGAGCACTAGCCTCCAGGCCAGATAAAAACATTAAAAACGTGCTCTTGATATTAGGGAATCCCAAATAGGCAAGTAGAGGGCAGACAATGGAGCATCCTATAGAGTGGACAATGGCCAGGGTCAAACAGAAGCATAGACTCCAAATAGAGAAGAAGGGCAGCCCAAGCGAAGGAGAATGGTACATCCGTGGACCACAGAGAGTCCTGTCATAAGATAGCAAACCGTTTCCCTGACCCTGCCCTACCATCTATAACCCCCCCCACCGCTGCACCCCCATCTGCCAATTCCGCCCCATGTGAAGACAAACGATGTATATGTTTTCTTCTTTCAACAAATTATGTTTTTTTGTAACTTTGAAGGAATTCTTCTGTTCTTTTGTCTCTTTCGTCTCCTCTCATGTAAGAGTATTCTCTAATCTATTGAACTTTATTTTAGACTTTTGCAGCACTGCAAGAACCCTGACTGCTGTTGTGGACCCTTCTGCCATGGGAGCTCTCACAGTTCTGAACCTAGAAGTGCTCATGTCTGAGTGCTTCCAGGCAGTACCGGGACAGGTTTTTTCAGCTCCTGGGTGGCTGTCCGTCCTGCCCACCCCTTGTCCCAGCCCTGCTTCCAGGTTCACTCAGCCTAGAGGAGATCGGTGAGTCCTTTCCCTAAAGGCAATGAAGACAACACAGAGTCACGGGAGATAGATCTTTATTTAATGGTGAATAATGCACAGTGCTGTGTAATGAACATCAGGAATATGGACCAGTCTCTGGGATGACCTCTGAGTGGTATATCCTCCATCTATGGGAACTGAGCTGACAATTTATAGCCGTACTGTAGATGCAAAAGAAATCATATAAGGCACCATGACAGGCTAATGATTTATAAAAATACAAATAAAGCCAAAAGCTACTCTTAAAGTCACATTCCCCCCATAGCTGAAATCATTCAGAAGCATCCCATGACTTCCCCACCCTATTAGATTGTAAGATCTTATGAGTAGGGCCCTCCTAATCCTCTTGTTTTTATTGTATCAGATCTCCCCTCACTGGACACACTTCCTGTTCCCCAGTACAGATTTAACATCACTTCCTGTTCCCCAGTAGAGATTTACCATCTCTTCCTGCCCCCACCCCCCTTCCCCTTTAGAGATGTCCCCTCATTCCCGTTTTCACTGGGTACATTTTTCCCCTCACTTCCTGGTCCCTTCTCCCGTGTAATGATTTCCCCTCAATACCTGTCCTCACTGGGCAGATTTCCCCTTATGACCTTCTCCTTAAAAGCCCCCCCCCCCCCTCCCAAGTAGAGATTTTCCCTCACTTCCTGTCTTCACTGGGCAGATTTCCCCTTATGTCCTTCTCCTTCCAAGCCCCCCCCCCCCCCCCCCCCCACCTCCCAAGTAGAGATTTCCTCTCACTTCCTGTTAGGAATGGACTGGCCAGCAATGGTGGGACTCACCTGCCTTTTGATCTGCAGTACCAGGGCTGGCCAGCGGGTGCTCCCAGCAATCAGAGACTCAACCTTTCAGCCAGCTAACACCTGGAACTGATGATACTGGTGTATTTAAGGGATGGCCAGACTTGCAGACTCTGCCTTGGTGTTGTGTTTGTCCTGGGCCCTGCATCCTGCATCCTGCATCCTGCATCCTGCATCCTGCATCCTGCATCCTGCATCCTGCATCCTGCATCCTGTTTCTGTTCCTTTGCTGACTTCTCCTGCTCTGATCCTGGCTTGTGACCCTGACCATCCCTCTGCCTGACCCTCTGTACTATGCTGCTTGCTACCTGCTGAACCTGGCCTGTGACCCCGACCATTCTCCGCTTGCTCCCCCTGTACCTACCTGCCCAATTGATATTGACCCGGCCTGCCTGACGACGCTTGCTTGTATGTACTGTTATCTGTGGGTGGTTTGGTTTGGTTTGTTTGCACTGTATTATGTTTTAGTATTGCACTGCGTTTATGTTTGTACTGTTAGTGTTAATAAATTATATTGTTTATAACATATCTGAGGTCTGCGTTTCCCTGCTTCAGTCACACACCTCTGGTCATACCTGGGAGCCCTGACATTACACCAAGGCCAATCCTGACCAGAAGTGGCTGCACAGGGAAGCCATCTTGGCTTGTTGATGGGAAGGATGGATCTTGAGGAGGTTGAGTATTTATATCTGCTAGTGTTTGATGACAGGGAGTATGCTTATCAGACTCTGAAGGAGTATACCCGGGATGAACTGCTAGAATGTATACGGATCACTCATGTTCTAGTAGATCAGGGCACAGAGTTCTCTGAGGTGCAGCCATTGATTGAGGTTTGTGCTGAGTTGGTTTCATCTGGTTCCCCCGAATGCAGGGATGAATTTTTGCCACCATTTAGTGCAGACCAGGTAGAGTCCCTGGTGTGGTTATTAGAGGATGATGTGGGTTACTTTCTGGAGCGTTATTCCACATGTTCACCACAGACACTAAGAGATTGTATAAACGCAGTGCAGTCATTGGCCAGACAGGCTTTGTGTAAGCTGAGCTTTGTTCAACCCCTACTGCAGACATGGACAGATTTGTTGCACCCAGCCTCAGTCAGCTTACAAAGACCCAGTCCTGCTTCTAACTCTACTCCTGTATTCCCACCAGCTCCTCCAGTTACAGCCCAGTATACTTGGCTATCTACCGCATGTCAGTCCCCTGTTCCCACTCGCTGCACCTATCCTGCCTTTAACCCTGTAAAAAAGCCCTCTGTAGCAACTGCTCCCTCTCCTGTTCCATCCTCCAGTTCTTCTCTGTCTCCAGCTGCTCCATTCGTTTGCAGACCTGCGTTTACTTGCAGTGCTCCAGTAGTTACAACCAGAAAAAAGCGAAAATTCTTTCCAACCAATACCATCCTGCCAGTATCCAAACCGGTGAGCCTGCCTTCCGTGGTTCAGACTGATGCCTGTACGCAGCCTGATGCCTGTACGCGGCCTGAAGCCTCTACGCGGCCTGAAGCCTCTACGCGGCCTGATGCCTCTACCCAGCATGATGAACTGATCCAGCCTGACGATCCTATTAGGCCAGTTGACTCGATGCCCGCTGTTGATCCAGATGATCCGGTACCTGATCCGGTGCCCGCTGTCGTGCCAATTGACTCAGAGCCCGCTGTCGTACCTGATGACCCGGTGCCCACTGTCGTGCCTGTTGACTCGGAGCCCACTGCCTTGCCAGATGACGCGGTGCTCGCTGTCGAGCCAAATGACTTGATGCCTGGTGACCCGATGCCCGCTGTCCAGTCAGACGATCCAATGTCTAACCCAGTGCCCGCGGTCATACCAGTTGACTCGGAGCCCACTGCCTTGCCAGATGACACGGTGCCCGCGGTCGAGCCAAATGACCTGATGCCTGGTGACCCGATGCCCGCTGTCCAGCCAGACCATCCAATGTCTGACCCAGTGCCTGCGGTCATACCAGTTGACTCGGAGCCCACTGTCGTGCCTGGTGTCTCGGTGCCCGCCTCTCCGCCTGGGGGCCCGAGACCTGTTGCTCCGCTTGGGGGTCCAGCGCCCGCCGCTCCGCCTGGGGATCCGGCGCCCGCCGCCCCGCCTGGGGGCCCGAGACCTGTCGCTCCGCCTGGGGGTCCGGCGCCCGCCGCTCCGCCTGGGGGCCCGAGACCTGTCGCCCCGCCTGGGGGTCCGGCGCCCGCCGCTCCGCCTGAGGGCCCGGTGCCTGTCGCCCCGCCTGGGGGCCCGGTGCCTGTCGCCCCGCCTGGGGGCCCGGTGCCTGTCGCCCCGCCTGGGGGCCCGGTGCCTGTCGCCCCGCCTGGGGGCCCGGTGCCTGTCGCCCCGCCTGGGGGCCCGGTGCCTGTCGCCCCGCCTGGGGGCCCGGTGCCCTGCTGCCCCGCCCGGGGGCCCGGTGCCTGCTGCCCCCCGCCGGGGGCCCGGTGCCTGCTGCTCCGCCCGGGGCCCGGTGCCTGCTGCTCCGCCTGGTGGCCCGCTGCCTGCTGCTTCGCCTGGTAATCCGATGTGCCTCTGCCCGGAGTCCTGCCCGATGTGCCTCTGCCCGGAGTCCAGCCCGGTGTGCCGCTGCCCGGAGTCCAGCCCGGTGTGCCGCTGCCCGGAGTCCAGCCCGGTGTGCCAGTCTTTGATATCCCGCCAGTTGCCAGACCCGGGCGGTGGAACATTTTGCCCAGCTAGGACTGTTTGGAGCGTCCTGAGGCCGCTCCTTGAGGGGGGGGGTACTGTTAGGAATAGACTGGCCAGCAATGGTGGGACTCACCTGCCTTTTGATCTGCAGTACCAGGGCTGGCCAGCGGGTGCTCCCAGCAATCAGAGACTCAACCTTTCAGCCAGCTAACACCTGGAACTGATGATGCTGGGGTATTTAAGGGATGGCCAGACTTGCAGACTCTGCCTTGGTGTTGTGTTTGTCCTGGGCCCTGTATCTGTCCTGCATCCTGTTTCTGTTCCTTTGCTGACTTCTCCTGCTCTGATCCTGGCTTGTGACCCTGACCATCCCTCTGTCTGACCCTCTGTACCTCGCTGCTTGCTACCTGCTGAACCTGGCCTGTGACCCCGACCATTCTCCGCTTGCTCCCCCTGTACCTACCTGCCCAATTGATATTGACCGGCCTGCCTGACGACGCTTGCTTGTATATACTGTTATCTATGGGTGGTTTGGTTTGGTTTGGTTTGTTTGCACTGTATTATGTTTAGTATTGCACTGCGTTTATGTTTGTACTGTTAGTGTTAATAAATTATATTGTTTATAACATATCTGAGGTCTGCGTTTCCCTGCTTCAGTCACACACCTCTGGTCATACCTGGGAGCCCTGACACTTCCTGTCCTCACAGGGCAGATTCCCCCTCATGTCCTGCTCCCCTCCTCCCATGTAGAGATTTCCCCTCACTTCCTTTCCTCACCGAGTAGATTTTCCCCTCACTTCTTACACTCTGTGTAGAGATTTACTCCCACTTCCTGTCCTCATTGGACAGATTTCCACTCACTTCCTGTTCCTATAGGGATTTACCCTAAATACTTGTCCTAACTGGGCAGATTTCCCCTTATGTCCTTCTCCCTTCCCCCCCTGTAGAGATTCTCTCACTTCCTTTCCTCACGGAGTAGACTTTCCCCTCACTTCCTGCACACTTTGTAGAGATGTATTCTCACTTCCTGTTCATATAGAGATCTACCCTCACTGGGCAGATTTACCCTTATTTCCTGCTTCCTCCCCCCCCCCCCCCCCCCTCCAATGTAGAGATTTCTCACTCCTTCCTTTCTTCAATTAGTAGATTTTTTTCCCCTGACTTCCTGTACTCTGTAGAGATTTAGTCACTTCCTGTTATCATTGGATAGGCTTCCACTCACTTCCTGTTCCTATAGGGACTTACCCTCACTACCTGTCCTCAGTGGGCAGATTTACCCTTATTTCCTGCTTCCCCCCCCCCCCCCCCCCCATGTAGAGATTTCCCCTCACTACCTATCCTCACTGGACAAATTTCCCCTCATGTCCTGCTCCCTTTGCCCATGTAGAGATTTCCTCTCACTTCCTTTCCTCACGGAGTAGATTTTCCCCTCAAGTCCTGTTCTCATCGGAAAGATTTCCACTCACTTCCTGTTCCTATAGAGATCTACCCTCACTACCTGTGCTCAATGGGCAGACTTACCCTTATTTCCTGCTCCCTTCCCCCTTGTAGAGATTTTCCCTTACTTCCTGTTCTCATTGGATAGAGTTCTGCTCACTTCCTGTTCCCATAGGGATTTCCCCTCACTTCCTGTCCTCATTGGGTAGATTTACAAAGCAAAATTATAACAAGGATGGACTTCCCATTGACTATCTCAATTTGCAGTCGTCTTAACAATAAAATGTCAATGTTACCTTGGTTCTCACAAGCTCCTGACCATCAAAAGTGACTATGTCCACAGCCATGAAGGATGCAGCATAAAGTGTGGCTCTGGGAACGTCCACACGTACTTGCCTGTAAAATATGAGGTACGTTTTAAAAATACAAAAATTATAACCTTGTGGATAAAAATGGAACAAAGCATTACCGGTACAGTACATACAACCCAACCACAAGCCAAGGCATTTTGTCAAGTGACCTCGGATGAATCAAAGTTGTAATTGTTGGGTCATACTCTTCATCGGGGTCCACATGACGAAATGGGTCACGTGATCAGAAGAAAAGGAAGTTCTGAGCAGTGTTACTCTTTGTGTATCAATATCCGCAAGATGGTTCATACAGCTTTATGGTGGCATTTCAGTTTAGATCTGATTTTGGAAGCCATTTTGCATTCCTGTGCTTATATAGCAGTTTTGATTGTTCCAGCTCTACAAGAACCCATCTGGTCTGCAGCCTAAATAGCTGGTCCATCCCTGGAAGGAACCATAAAACCCTTGTGGGTGGTTAGAGGAACACTGGCAGGGTTTAGTTTGGGTTAGCATTGGCCCAACCATGAGAGTTTGCAGCAGAAGCACTACATCCACGTGGAGGGATTCACTGCCCTCTACTGTTAGCTGCTAGTACCACACTAATGTAAAATTATGTATGTCACTTCCTGACTCGGGAATTATTGGGAAAAGATCCTGGAAGGAGGAAGAAGGTCTCAGTCACATGTCCTGTCCAAGCTACTAATACCAGATATGAAGAAAGGATTATGAAAGTATCTCAAGGTTCTAATAGTTTAAAGTGGTTCTAAAGGCTCAAGGTTTACCTTCATGCATTCTATGTACGAAGGTAAAAAAAACCTTCTCTGGGTAGCATCAGCCCCCTCTAATACTCAAAGCCCCCCTCTCGATCCAGCGATGTGCACTGGAGTCTCGGCTATCCCAGGACTCCCTCTTCTCATTGGCTGAGACAGAAGTGGGAGCCATTGTCTCCAACTCCTGTCAATCACAGCCAGTGAGAAGATAGAGGGGGCGGGGCAGGGCTGAGGCACGGCTCCATGTGTGAATGGACACATGGAACAGCGGCTGGGGAGTGTGCATGCTTGGATGCCCCCATAGCAAGCTGCTTGCTGTGGGGGCACCTGACAGGAGGGAGGGACCAGGAGCGCCGGCCCCAAGAAGAGAAGAATCCGGGCTGCTCTGTACAAAACCACTACACACAGCAGGTGTTAATAAAGGCTTACCTGTAAAGTGAATACTGTATCTGTTAAATGTGCACCATGTAGGAGATATTCACTTTTGTAGCATCCCGTGAAGTCACCGGTGCATGTGCACTGCACTCTGAATAGACAGGACACTCTAGTGCACGGGTGTCAAACTGGCGGCCCTCCATCTGTTGCCAAACTACAATTCCCATGAGGCATTGCAAGATTGACAGTTACAAGCATGACTTCCACAGGTAGAGGCATGATGGGACTTGTAGTTTCGCAACAGCTGGAGGGCTGCCAGTTTGACACCCCTACTCTAGTACATCGTCCATTCAGAGCGCTGTACTGCATTCATGACTTCCATGCACATGCGCGGGAGTGACGTTACTAGGGCCTGGCCATTCAAACAGCCAGAGCCCAGGAACCCGGACAATACATCGGGTGAAGATGGAAGTCCTGCACACCATTGGCGGGATCTGCTTTATGGTGAATACTAGCCCATTATGCAATTAGCCTGCAGGAGGACCTTTTTTCTTTTTTTTAAAGCAAAAGAGTTTACTACAACTTTACAAGAACTTCAGTTATCAGATCATTGACTTATCGGTCTGCTTGTTGAGCGATGAAATTATGGAGGCTTAAAAATACATGAAATATATATGACTTACTGGAGAGTCATGGATTTCCTCAGAGCCTCGATGGTTGGTGGGGTGAGGCTCTTGCCCACATCATCTGCTCTTCCTGGAGAAGGTATAGCAAGCAGGATGGATAGATAGGGACTGTATGGCATTTCTATGAGAGTGACTCCCAGGTCTTTATTCTCCACCATCTTGTACTGTCCATCCAACTTCTTTGACCAGCCAGTTCCACCTGCAGATGGCACTTTCAAGGCGTCTGTAGGGAGGAGGTTAATGAAATGAACACATTAATGAATAATGTACTTCAAATATCCTACATGGTCTTATATATCAGTAACATATCCGTCCAGGGGCGGACTGACAACTTATGGGGCCTCCAGGCAATAGGGGATCATGGGGCCACTGTGTCCTTGTCCAAACTCAAAAAAGCCTATGGAAAAAAAAAAAAAAAAAAAAAAAAAAAAAAAAAGAAGTGTACCAGGGGCATCTCATGGGGCTCCCTACTGACCCGGGCCCTCGGGCAGTGCCCAAGTTTCCAAATGGTCAGTCCACCCCTGTATCCGTCCTTCCTTACTTTCCTGCCTCCCTTAGCCTCTTTTCTTCTCTTCCTTCGGTTTATTTGTTCCTACCTTCCTCTTTCTTCACCACTCCTCTCTTGTTCCTTCCTTCCCCCCCCCCACCCTCTTTCTTCTTCATTCCCTCTCTTCACTAGCTTCCTGCTTCACTTTTTTCGACCATTCCTCCCTTCTTGCTTTTCCTACCCTTATACTTTTATTTTAATACATAAAAATTATATCTTGGCTGACCTCTCAGGACTTGGTGCTCAAACCCTTTCACTCTAAATGAGCCAATTTTCCCAAGAACCCTGTTGGAGTAACACACTGGCATTAGATAGCTGCTGTATGTTGACAACCTTTTGGTTCATTCTGTAGCACCCTCCTAGTTAGCTAGATCATTTTTTTTTCCAGAGAGAGGCTGAATAGCAGCCGGGAGAAATAGTCAGAGGGGTCAAATTTGGGTCAGGGCTGCGAGGCTCTGTAGATCAGCTCTCTGATACCCCCCCCCCCCCCCCCCCCCCGATCTAGAGACTTGAAGAAGTCTCTAGAACTCAGTGGGCAGAGGCGAGGAGTGGATGATCTCTATGCTTAAGGGATCTCAACCAATCCCTAAGCAGGAGACTTGGCAAGGGATAGCCTTTAAGAATAGCTGAGCCTGCACAGCAGCAGGAGAGGTTGAGTTGGAGATTTGAGGGCACAAGCTGGAGAGTGGAGCCTGGGAGGAGGCCCAGGGAAGGGGCCTGCCTACAGGTTGATGTTGGACAGAAGGAAAGCTGGACCTTGCCAGCCCCCTGAGAGAGGACCATCTGTGGAGCTAAGGAAGGAGCCAGCCCAGCAGAAGGCCTGAAAGCAGCTACTGACCTGCAGCCTACAGAAGAGGAACATTGAGTAAGTCTATGCCCAATGGATGGAAATAGGGGAGAAGGCATTTGGGTGGGAAACCTGACAAGCGCTCATCTGGACTGTACTTTGTAAAAAGTTAGACTCTAGATCCCCTTGTCCAGAGATTTCTACACCAGGAGGAGTTGGCTAGCTCTCCAAGAAGAGAAGAGAACCATTCTGAGCACTTGTGAATAACTTCAGGACGTTGTCTTCATTTAAACAGTTCCTTGGGCATCCCAAGTATTCCTCATCTGCATTCAAGTGTAAAGCCTCAATAAATTCCAAAAAACAAGTTCAGGGACTGTTTTCTGTCTCTGGAGTGCAAGGCTGGAAGGAAATGCTTGCTGCCTGGCTGTGCAGGACTATAGGGGGACCCAAATCTCTAGCAACTCCTAAGAGGGTAGTTATACAATTCAGAACTTCCAGTAATCTTTGAGTCCAGCACTCCACCACCTTTACTCCTGGAAGTTCAATGGTTTGACCTTCATTACAGCCTTGAGGATAAGGCAGAGTAAGGAGACCTGACCATTGAATGGCATTCCACTTACCAATTCCCTCTTGAATTTGGAATACCAGCTTTGTGTGAAGCCGACATTCAAAATACAATAAAAAAAATAACTAAATAAAGCAACGATGACCTAAAAAGGACACAGCCGTCCACACTTACTGTTGGTATTAACAATAACCGACACGGTGTCTTCATTAATATTTGTCACTAAATTGAGAATTTTTCCGCTAGTTTTATCTTTCACAAAGGTGTTCACACTGTTCATGGCCGAATCCGGGGAGGCAAAATCTTTGGACACCGTCGGCATATTTGGGTTTTCATGATGCCAGTTTTTGTGGACGAATATGGTTGTGTCTTTGGTGGGGCGCAGACTGCTGTCAGGGTCTTCAAGAGCTTCAAATAGGCCACCCAAAGCTTCGGTCTTGAATGCTGCAATCATATATATGTAGTCTTGGGAATTCAGAGGTGGGTAATGATTGTTAACTTTCATTTTAAGGTAACCATCGTGTAAGACGGCCACTTGGATGAGAGCTGCGCTCACACACAGAAAGAGCAAGGCCTTCATCTTTCCTCCTCCTGGATTTTTGGTTGCACTGAACCTTCCTGAAAAACAAACAAAATAAACAAACATAATTTACACACATATATTATATAGGCAGTATATAGCTCCCTTGTCTCCTCCTCCCACACTCCTCTCCAGAGCCCCCCCATCCTCTGGAACGCTCTACCCCAATCTATCAGACTATCGCCTACTCTGCCCACTTTTCGGCGATCTCTTCAGGGAAGCCTATCCTGCCCTCAGCTAATAATGGAATCTTTTATTCCTCCTACCAGTCCATCCCCCACAGTTACTACCTTTTGTGCCACTAGCCCCTCCCTCCTAGATTGTAAGCTCCCAGGATCAGGGCCCTCCTATCCCTCTTTTATTGAACTGTATTGAGAGAATGAGCGCGAGAAAGAGAGCAAAAAAAAAATATATATATATATATATATATATATATATATACACACACACACACATATATATATATATACACATACCCCTTTCGGATCATTACATGGAAGGTTCATAATAGAACTTCGATAACAAAATCTTCAGTTTTACTCCAACTAGTTGATGCAGAAATGAATCCCCCCCCCCCACAACAAGAACTCCTCCATCGAGTATTCTGTGACCTCCATGATATGTAAGGACGGCACCGAGTCTTCTAGGCATGGAATGGACAAGTTGGTGACATATTATAACATCGATCTTTTTTCCATTTTTCAAGAACAACCTCTTTTAGATCCTGGATGCTGGATGGAGAGCGATGCTCAGCTTGTCTCTCCAGAATTCCCCCCATAGGTGTTCGGTTGGGTTCAGATCAGGAGACAGACTTTGCCACTGAATCTCTTTCCCCCGGTTCTTCTTCATTAATGCAACAGTGGCCTTAGATGTGTGTTTTGGATCATTGTCATGTTGGAAAAGTGCACGACGAACGAGGGTATGCAGTGATGGCAGCATCTTCTCTTTCCATATAGAGCAGTACATCTATGAATTCATGACACCATCAATGAAATGCAGCTCCCCGACTCCAGCAGCACTTATACAGCCCCACAGAAGGACACTGCCACCACCACGTTTCACAGTAGGCACCATTTTCCTTTGTACTCCTCACCTTTGCAATGCCATACAGTTTTGAAGCCATTAGTTCCAGAAACATTTATCTTGATCTCATCACTCCAGAGTACAGAGTCCCAGTAGTCTTTTTCAGCATAGGCCCTGGCAACAATTCTAGGCAAACATTTTTGTGCATGGGCTTTAGGAGAGGCTTCCTCCTTGGACGACACCCATGCGTGCCATTCCTCTGCAGTGTACGCCGCATTGTGTCATGGGAAACAACCAGTTTGGCTTTTTACTTCATTCGCAGTGAACTTTCATGGCGATTTTCTTCAACCCTTCTCATCAGAAGACGCACGTGTCAAGGTGGTAACTTCCATGGACGGCCTGGATGTCTCTGTGAGATGGTTGCAGTTCCATATTTGTTACATTTTTGTATCCCTTTTGCTCCAGTATTCTGACTGATAAGTAAAGCTTTGCTGATCTTCTTGTGGCCTTCATCTTTCTTGTGTCAAGAAATGATTTTCTCAAAGGCCTTGTGAAATTTCTCTTCCATGTGCCATTGCCGACAGTATGGAATGTGCAGGGTTTTCTTTGATAGGTAACACCGTTCTATATTCACCTGTCTGCTGGACACCTGTTTACTGAATAATTAGACTCACCTGGAGATGAATTATTGTTCATTAGAATTGTGTTGTCTAAAGTTTAGCTTTGCTCCTAAGACTCTCATTGGGGTGTGTTCATTTTTGCAACATGGTTTTGTTAGGTCTGTTTTTCTTTAGCCCAGGTAAGACGCTTCTGAACGTTGTTTGTTGTTCAAGAGCAGCTTGACAACAGGAATACGACATTTGCAGCCCATGTCCAGGATCCGTGTGTGTGGTGGCTCTTGATGCACTGACTCCAGCCTCAGTCCACTCCTTTTGAAAGTCCCCAACACTTTTGAATGGCCTTTTCCTGACAATCCTCTCCAGGCTGCGGTCATCCCTGCTGCTTGTGCACCTTTTTTTTTCCACACTTTTCCCTTCCACATAACTTTCTATTAATGTGCTTTGATACAGCACTTTGGGAACATCCAACTTCTTCTGCAATTCCCTTTGAGGCTTTCCCTCCTTATGGAGGGTGTCAGTGATGGTGTCAGGTCAGCAGTCTTTCCCATGATTGGGATTCCTACTGAACCAGACTGAGAGACCATTTAAAGGCTCAGGAACCTTTGCGGGTGTTATGGCTGAATGAGTTGATTAGAGTGGGCCACTTTGAGCCGAGATTATTCCCACCTTTTCACAATATTCTCATTTTCTGAGATTGTGGATTTGGGGTTTTCATGATCTGTAAGCCATAATCATCACAATGATGACAAATCACGGCTTGAACTATCTTGCTTTGTATGTAATGAGTCCCATATATTAGTTTCACCTTTTAAGTTGCTGCACTGAAATAAATGAACTTTTGCACAATATTCAAATTTTTCGAGTTTCACCTGTATACTGTGTCTTTAAAAATGAATTTAATCTACATTTTTGGAATGCATTTGCAAAAAATATATTTAATTACTTTTTATATGTTAAAAAAAAAAATCTGAAGAATATTTTTTAAAAAATATTTTTCATTTATTTTGTAATATACAAAAAACAAATTTCAACATGCAGTGTGTGATATATATATATATATATATATATATATATATATATATTTTTTTTTTTTTTTTTTTTTTTTTAAAATAAATATATTCTTCAGATTTTTTTTTTAACATATAAAAAGTCATTAACATACATATATATATATATATATATATATATATATATATATATATATATACATATACACACTGTATGTTGAAATGCATTTTTATTGCAAAATATATGAAAAATATTTTTAAATACATATTGAAAATGGCCAAAAATTGTAGTATTTCAAATATATGTAAATCTATTTGGGAAGAATATTTTTAAAATATATTTAAAATATATTTTCCTTCCATGTGGACTGTAATAAATAACTGCTGTCAGCATTATAAAAATATATTTTAAAAAAAACATATATATATTTTTTTAAATATTTTTCATTTATTTTGTAATTTACAAAAATGCATTTCAACATGCAGTGTGTGATATATATATATATATATATATATTTATTTATTTTTTTAAATATATTCTTCAGATTTTTTTTTAACATATAAAAAGTCATTAACATATATTTTGCAAATGCATTCCAAAAATGTAGATTAAATGTATTTTTAAAGACACAGTATTTTTGAAAAATGTATTTAAAAATTTTTCATATATTTTGCAATAAAAATGCATTTCAACATACAGTATATATATATATATATATATACACATACACACACACACACACACACACACACACTATGTTGAAATGCATTTTTATTGCAAAATATATGAAAAATATTTTTAAATACATTTTTCATATATATATTTATTGAAACATATTGAAAATGGCCAAAATTGTAGTAGTTCAAATATATGTAAATCTATAAATAAATGTAAATATATTTTTCTTCCATGTGGTCTGTAATAAATAACTGCTGTCAGCATTATAAAAATGAGAGGTTGAGCGCGACAAAAAATGATAAAGAATGTAAAGTTTTGCAGTGGAACGATGCCAAGTCATAACTGATTATAATTATTTTTATAATAAATATCCTTGGTCTTAGATAGACTGGAAGTATTAATGTCGGCCTAATGTCCCGCGACAGAACACACATGAGGCCACTGTGAGCCTTGGCTGGGGGCCCGGACCTTCCACAGTCACCGAGGTTGGATGGGGATGAGCTGTATTTGATCAGCTCGGAGATAAGTCCTTGTAGGCAAATACAAAGTACATTCTCAGGTCCAAGCAGGATGTGTCCGGGTTATCAATCTTTACTATAATAAAATGTTTTTCTACAGAAACCTCCAATAGCGGTGGCTTGGCGCGTGCTGATAATTTGCACAGTAAAAAAAAAAAAAATGAAATAAGTGGTTAGCACTTCTGCCTGGCAGTATTACGGTCATTTGTTTGAATCCCACCCATGACACCACCTGCCTGGAGTTTGCATGTTCTCCCTGTGCCTGCTTGGGTTTCCTCCGGGTACTCTGGTTTCCTTCCACACTCCGAAAACATGCTGGTAAGTTAATTGGTTCCCGTCTAAATTGTCCCTAGTATGTGTATGTATGAATGTGAGCTAGGGACCTTAGATTGTATGCTCCTCGGGGGCGGGGACTGATGTGAATGTACAATATATATGTAAAGTGATGTGTAAATGGACGGCGCTATATAAGTACCTGAAATAAGATACCACAGTTATGAGTTGTTACATAATGAGAGATAAAATCATAAAGTGCTTTAGAAATCATCATTGTTGGTATTCAGGATATATTTTTTGTATACAAAGAAACGTATTAAAGTAGAACTAAAAGGCAAAACTTTCGCTTTTTCATTTTGGATAAAGCAAGGGTGTCAGATTTTTTTTTTCTTCTGCCATCCGTGTCCCATTGTGGAGATTTCCCTTCACTTCCTGTCCCATAGCCAAACAGGAAGTGAGAGGAAATCCCTGCAAATGAAAGGAATTCCTCGGGGACGTGACCCCCCCCCCTCCCCCGGGGTCACCAGAACTAGCATCCTCATTAAAATATATCCCCTTTATTACTTTTCTGAGGACAACCCAAAATTTGGGGATTTTTTTTACTTTCAGCTCGGATTCACACAGATACAGTGCGGAAATCCACACCTCATCAGAATCGCACCCAGTTCATGCGAACCGCGGCGGGTGTGTATGGTAAGTTAACAACACACTGAAATCATTCTGCAAAACGCAGTGCGATGTGTAGAATCACATAGGTGTGAATACCTGTGCGATCTGATTCTAGTGCAGACCAAGAAGAGGTCCTGCATGTGTTTGGTGCGGTGTGATTACAGCCATACATAATGTACGACTCCGATCGCGCCGCACATAAATCACA